CGGGCCCCAACACAAAAGGGGCTTTGTTCTGCTCGCCGCCGCACGCGCCGGAGCTGTTATTGCACGTACCCTCCCCCAGACACACCGGAACGGCCCTGTGCCGAAACCCTGCAGCCGCCCTCACCAGCAAACGTTGCTGCACGGTGACAGGGGAGGTCCCTGCCACAGGGACAGGGGTGAGTGTCCCCCCCAAAACCCTGGGGACAAGGCGGGGGGGGGGGGGGGGGGGTCGGTTCCTGAAAGTGACCGAGAGCCTCAATGCCACTACCCTGGAATTGGGACAAAATCTCCAGCTCCTCAGCAAACCTGAAACTTCGTTAGCACAAGGCTTCATTAAATGAGCAACGCACGTGCTGCGGGAATAAGTCCCCAGGGGCAAAAATAAACAGAAATTATAAATAAAATTAAAAAAAAAAACAAAACAAACCCACCACCAGTTCAAACAGTGTAAATGAGATTTCAGCGCTCGTTCCCAGCCCTCCCACCAGTAAAGCCTGGGCTGCTCCCGGCCAGGCTGAGGGCAGGTACCGGCGCAGGGCGGCCTCTACCCCGGGGGAAAGGGACAGGGTCGAGGTCAAAAGCAGGAAAAGCCCCAAAATCCCTGGAGCAAGGGGCTGCCTGAGCCCATAACTGGTACTAAAAGTCCCTGTTACTGCCGCTTGGCCTGGGAATGCTGCGTATAGCGCAGGCCTGGGTTTTACTTCAGCTTCTAAAAATAAGCCTGAGCAGGGGCCTGGGGGCTGGGGGGGGGGGGGTATTTGTTATTCCTTCAGCTGATGGAGAAGAGCTGAGAAACCACGTTAGTTTTATTTTGTCAGCGTCAGGTTTCCCCCCCCCCAGCCCCTCTGGGAGCAGCGGGGAGCACATGGAAAGGGCTCAGCACTGGGAGGGGGATGCTCTCAGATGATGAGTTTAACCCCCACCCCAGCACCAGCAGTGGGAGGGATGCAGGGGCCGGGCTGTTAATTACTGGCCGAGGAAGCAGAGACACACAGGACCCTCCACGACCGGGATTAATTGAGCCGGAGCCCCCGCTCAGCCACAGCTGCCCAAACCCCCCCGGCTTTGACCCCCTCCTGCAAGCAGGGAGCCACACGCTGCACCCCGGGGGTTCTTCCCTGAAGTGCTCAGCTGTCCTCTACCTGCTTTAAAAGAGATGAAGACAATTGCCATCTGGACACCGATTGCTAAATCCTGATTTTTGGCTGGTTCTTTGCTGGCGTTGGGGCGCTGAGCCGGGCGCAGGGTCAGGCCCTGAGCTGGACAATGACTGCAGTGCCCCGTAGCCAGGGCCCGGTGGGGCTCAGGGCACAGCCTGAATATTTTTTTTGCTGGGGGGGGGGGCAGGGGGCAGGCGTGATGTGGCTGCCAACTGCTTGTTGTCCCCCCCATCTCCAAGTCCTGGTGCTCACCCAAGACATTTTGGGGCCCCAGCACAGTTCCCCAGCGCTGCAAGAGCACCGACCCCGGCATCCCGGGGCTGTCTAAAACCAACCAGCTCCTCTGCGTGCAGGAAACCGGGGCAATATTCTAGCTAATTCTGCTAGAAAATAAAAGAAGGGTCAGTTCTTTGCCCCATTGCTCACACTGCCCTGGGCAGTGGTGCAGGATTGGGCCCAAATGCCTGTGACAGCTCCCAGAGCAGCCCAGTACCCCAGTCCTCGAAGACTCAGCTGATGGGATTGCACCCTGTAGGTCTCTTCACCAAGCACATTCCTCCAGCTGATCCAGGTGTTGCCTACGAGGAAAACCCCAGAAAGGGCAATATAATGGTATTAAAAATTTCTCCAGTCCTGGCCAGATAAAATAACCTTGGCTGAAAATAGGTGCTGCCCCAGCAGTACCCAACCGCGGCGGTTCTGCGGGATGCTGCGGGGACCGGGAGCAGCGCCTGGGCATCGGGCAGCGGGATAGAAAGGACAGCAAATCCAATCAGATTTTCTAACTTAAAGCGGGACTTTATTTCCCCGTGCCTTGAATGGACCTGGCTCTTCTGCAGCTCCTCTGCAGCGGCTGCCCCGGCCGGTGTCCAGCAGCGTGGGCAGAGCTTGAGCGAAGGCGTGGGGGCTGCTGCCCGGGCTGGCTCCTGCTCCTCTTCACGCTGGCCGTAACACCGTGGTGCCACCAAAAACCAGCATCAGCATTAACCCACCCTGTGCTCACCCCTGCCCAACAGCCCGGGCAGCTCTTTGTGCTTTTCAGCCTTAAAAACTCAATTTTCAGCTATGTTTTTCTGAGAGCTGAGTGACTCAAATGGGTTTTTTTTCCCTTCTCTCTATCTTCAACACACAAAAAAAAAAAAAAAAATTAATGTATTAGAACAAAAGCCACCTCTCACGCTCCAGTTACACATGTAGGGGACATGTGGCCATTTATACACCAGCTGGATGCTCCCCTCATCCCACACTGCACCAAGGGACCTTGGCTTCAGAATAAGGAAAATATAAGGTGGTTTGGTTTTTTTTTTTTTTGTTGTTGTTTTTTTAAGGGATGTGGGGAAAGGGGCAGTGCTTGCTGCTTTGTATTCTGCTACTGAAAGGACAGAGGAAATTAGTTTTCTTTAAGCAAACTTTAAAGGACAGGAAATAGGGGCTGCCAGCCTGTCCCCAGCTCACCCCGGGACCGTGGCGGTGGGACGGGCAGCACCCGCGGGCTTTGGTGGCTTCACCGGCACCCTGGCCCTGGCTTGGGTTTATCAGGAGAAGCCTGCCGCTCTGCCAGGGCGGGTGGCTCCTCATCACCAGCACCTAAAAATAATTACACCAAAAATGGGTGAGGGGGGGAAAAAAAAAATACAAAACCCCTAAGAAAGACCTTTTCCCAAAGAATTCAGCTGGGTGTACACAGCCCAGTCCCTTTCCCTCCCAGCTCAGTGCTGGTGGACCGCAGGAAGATATTTCTCTCTGCCCATGCTCAACTCTTCCCTGATTTTATTTTTTTTTTTTTAATTCCCCATCCTTTTTTTCTGCTTGTGTGTTTACAGCAGCGCCTCATCAAGCTCTTCCAAGCTGCGGGGCCTGATAATTTCTCCTCTGTGCCAGGCTGTGACCCTCCTGCTCCCTCCCCTGCCAGCTCCGGCAGAGCCCCAGCGCGGAGCCGGCTCGTTCGGTGCCACCGGCCCGGGGGGCTGACCCTTCCCCTGCGGCACCGGGGGGCTGGATGGAAGGAGGCTTGGAGGTTTGGAGCGACGGAGGGAGAGAAAACAGAGCGGGGACAGACAGAGCTGCTGTCGTTCCCAGCCGAACCCGCTGTCCCCAGCCCTCCCAGTGCGGCTGCAGGTCCCAGTTCACCCCAAGGGCCTGACACCAGCACTTCATGGGGATGCACTGACTGAGAGGAGCTTTAAGGCAGCCGCATCCTGCCACGGGGCCCCACTCCCTGTGAAAAATACTAGCCGTTGAAGGCTCCTCCATACAATTTAGTCCTGGTTTGGGTTTTGGTTTTTGTTTGGTTTTTCCCCCTATATTTTACAAGAACAGGGTCTTTCACACAGCACAGCCGAGGAAGGCGTTTTCCTGGGCACAAAGCCGCCCCGCCAGCCGCCGGTGGGTGCTGTGGGGTCTGGCTGGGGGGGTCCTGGCTCCGGGGCTGTGGCACTGGGGCTGATCCCCCCACCCCAGGGGCAGGATGAGGGTCCCAACGCTGCGCACCATCACCCCGGCATCTGGTTATAGCACCAGCAGTGATTTGGGCCGTCTTCCGCGCTGTTAAACGCTTCGGCAGGATCTTCTGGCCCTAATAAACCTTCCTCCGGGGACTTGTTGGTGTGATCGCTGGGAAAGGGGGTTTCCCTTTGATTTCTACCCCTTATGGCTGCAGCGAGCAGGGCCCCATTAAAAAATAGGAGTTTTAAAATTGTGCTAAATTTTTCCAAATAAATAAATCTGCCCGGTCTTGTGCAAACACTGCCCAGCTCCTTGTCGCTAGCCAGCTTCTGGTGCCTTAGGAGGCAGCAGCAGCCATCAGTCAGCTCCACACACACACACCACGGCCCACGGGCTGGTGGAAAACAATCACTCAGCTTTGTCCCAAAACAGAGAGAGCGTCACGTGAACCCAGGAGCACAGAAATCCCTCGGGAGAGCCGTGGCAGGGAGCAGGGCCAGGCCCTGGAGGTGCCCGAGCAGCTCTGCCGCCCCCGCTACCACACGCAAAGGCAGCACATAGCCATCCCTGGTACCCTCCTGCCCCCCAAAATAAACCCAGAGGGAACCCTAACCCCAAAGGTTCCACTGCACCAGAGGCTGGGGCAGCTCCTCGACAGGCTCCTGACGTGGCTCACAGCTGCTCAGAGAAAAAGCAATTTAAAAAAATCTAATTTTTTTTTTAAAAAGAAGTCCTTCCCACCGAGGCTCACGTTTCCAACCACCATTTTGCATTTGGACATTAATTACCTTCGGGGTGGTGGGGAGGCTGCAGCCTGGATGAGAGCCAGGGGAGGGGGGATGAGGATGGGGATCGAGATGAAGATGAGGATGAGGCCAGGAATGGGGTTGGGGATGAGGATGGGGCCAGGGATGGGGAGGTCACCTGGGGAACCGGAGAAGTGTGATTTTTGATGGTGGGCAGCTGGCCAGGGCACATACCTGCCCTGCGAGGCTGCACGTCTGCGGCAACTGGGGTTCCCCAGAGCCATCGGGGTCCTGCCCCGAACCACTCTGGCTTCACCTTTCATTTCTGAACCGCCTGAACCGCCGCCCGCAGAGCCAACGCCAGCAAAGCAAACAGCCCTTATCTGCCCCGTGTCGCTGCGCGTTTGCTTTGGAAGTGTGCGTTATCACGGAATTACTTTACACTGTGCCCTTAATATGAGCCCACTTATTGAAAAGTCAATAAAGCACAAAGGTGTTGTTATTTTTTTTTTTGTCTTTCTTTTCTAAAACAGTCAGCAAGGGGTATAGCAGGACCCAGGCAAAGTCCTCCCAGCATCCCCAGCTGCGCGGTGGGGACCCCCAGTTTCCAAGACACTCGAGCCCAGCACGCTGGAAATGTTGGAGCCGATTCAGGTCAATTAAAGTTGAGGTTTTTATTGAATTAAAGTGTGAAAGTAAATACAGCCAGCCCAGTATTCGGTCTGTTATTTTTTTGATGTTAATGCAATTTTTTTCACCCGGCTCATAAATGTGATTTAAAAGGTGGTAGAGATTCCTGGGCTGGAGGAGAGCCGGGAGATGGGTTTTGGAGCTCGGAAAGGAGGTGGATGGGTTTCTTGCACCTGGGAAAGCGTCGGCAGCAGTTTGGACGTGAGGAATAAAAGTGCTTCTGGCAACAGCAGCCGGGTGAAATCCAGTAAAAGAGTCGGGGAAAGAAACCTCCTGGGATGCGGCTGCACTGCAGCTCAACATGCCTTGGCTGGGGAGCCTAGGATGTCGCCAAGGCTGCCCATGCCCGCGGAGGAGGTGGCCTTTGAGCTCCAACTGAGGCCAAAACAACCTGAATTCCCTCCAGTCAGCGCAATAACTCCCGTTGATAGAGTGCAGGCCTGGGTACAAAAACATTTGTTTAAAATAGGTCCTAAGGTGGACAGTGACCCACCAGCCCCGCCACCACGTCCCAGAGCAGAGGAGGAACAACCCACGGGGACCTGGATGCATCTGCCCCAGGCAAGGCACTAACCTGCTCCATTTTTAATAACTCTGAAAGATTTTCTTTCCAAAAAGCTTTCGAGTGAGGCTGGCTGTGGAAGCAGAGTATTTTTAGCAAGTATTCATGCGAAACGACTTAGGCTAATAATTTGCAATGTAAAGTTAGAGCTTCAACAAAAACTCAGACTAAGCAGATTTGGGGTCAGCAGGACTTTCTTGCTGATTTTGCTGAAAGGAACCGTACAGCCAGGTCCAGGGAAGCTGCGTGGAGCCTGGAGCTGGTCACTGATTTTTCAGAGCAATAAAACCCCACTGTGCCTAAAGGACCAAAACTTGAAATCCTTCCATGGACCATGACTCTGCAAAGTTACATATAAATATTTAACCTGTAAATAGTCACATCGAGCACGATGGTCACCGAAAGGACCCGGCCCCTTGCTTTCCCCATCCCTTTTGCCTCTTTTCGCCATCGTTGATCCTTCAGCAAAGAAACGAGCTGCTGGGAGGGAACTGCTTTTAGAAAACTGGTAATAAATCCAGCTTCCCCCCCGGCGCTGCCTCTGCCTGGAGTTTCACGTGCCATTTAACTCCAGTGACTGGTGAATGTTCATGAACAAAGAGCCAAGCGTGGCCCCGGGACGCCCCAGCTCGAGGCTCACAGTGAATTTCGGCCGTTCCTGCAGCCAGCCACGGGATAACCAGGCTCTCCAACAAGCAACACGGGGCCGGGGAGCAAAGATACCTGAAGGGTGAGGATGGTGACGGGTCAACCCTTCAAAACACGGTCCCCCGCCAGTCACTGGTGGGAGGTGGCCGCTCCTGCAGCTCCGCAGACACAAGGGGCCCCCAAAGCCCTCCAGGGCCACCAGCCTGCCAACCCTGAGACACGGGCCAGGGCGAGCGGAGCCAACGTGGCCAAGGGGAACGGCACCCGGGGATGCCCAGAAAAGGTGGAAGAGTTTAAACCCAAGCGTTGAAGGGCTGCAAAGCTCTGCTTGGGCGGGAGTTGCATTGCTGCGAGCGCACCCACGACCGGCACGGCATCTGGCAGGGGTTACGTGCACTAGAAGAACGAGGGAAAGAAGCATCTCACATTTTAATTTGTTGTAACGAAGAGGAGAAGCATCTCAATATATAGCAAACCTCAGCACATGACTCTTGGTCACCACGTTCTTCCATTTCAGGTTGACACCATCTCATTTTTTCATACCTTTTTTTTTTCAAAATGGACTGGAGGCAAACCCTCCTGGATCCTCCAACACCAGCTGGCTTCTCAGCATGAAGTAAACTTCTCTCTGAACCGAACAACCAGAGTAAACTGCAAATGAAACGTTCCAGCCCCAGAAGGGATTTTTGTCAGAGGCTGGGCTAGCGCTTGCCAGCCGATGACTTCCACCTGAATAAGCTCCTTACACCCTGGGCAGCTAATACCACTTTTTTTAATATAAAATGGGTTTTATAAGGTTAGACTTTATCATAGATGATTATAATTTGAAATTTAACTTTAAAATGGATTACTCTAAAGCTGCGAGTCCATAAAATATGTGGTCAATTAAGATGTGGGGCCTCAAGAGTTGCCTGCAAGCTTGTTGTAAAACTTGTTTTTAATGCTGCTTGGACAGATTTGGTAACTGAATCAGAATTGCGGCAACTGAGAGAAAAAAACCTCAGTACCAGATGGGTGCTTTGCATTAAATGGCTTTTTCCATTTACATGCATTCTGCTTTTACCGGCTGTTATGAGCTAAAAAAAGTCCTACATAATCATAAATGTTAATAAAGACAGTATAAGTACAGGGCTTTTTTCTCCCCCGTCTTTTGGTACTGTTCTTTTGGGTTCATATTCTTCAAGCTCCTTTCTGCAGCCACAAATACTAGTTGCTTTTATTTTTTTTTCTTTCCCTTGTGTGAAGAAACAATTCCTTAATCCATAAGATTCTTTGGGACTTAATTTTTTCATAAAAAAGCCTCACACCAATATTAAATGGCTGATAAGACTGGCAGAGCTATTAAAAATAAGTGCTTGACACAATAATTATTTTTACTGTGCTTTGAATACACAAAACATGACAAAATTATTCAGCCTTGTCATCATATGCGTTTTAAATGTATAGTTATGGATGTTTTCAGACAGCAAAAACACTTTTAATCTTTTCAGGAGGAAAAACTCAAACACCTCCTTTAGAGACGACCAGCTGCCCCAGAAAATCGCACAGCCCATCAGCGCGGGCAGCGACGGCAGCGTACACCAGAGTCTGACGAACGGATTTGTTTTCCCTTTCCCCAGAGCCCAGGTATGTGGCATTAGGTTTATTCCAGGCCAAAACACAACACTGAGGTCAGAACCCTTTGTAAGAGGGAGATCCTTTTACCTGGACTTACTTCCCAAAACTGCTTCACCTTTGTGGCTGTGCCTATGCTGTTTGAAAAGATACGGACTGAGGCAGATGACATGAGAAACTCCAATTGCAAATAAAAAAATCTTTATTGCATCTCAGAAGCAAGTCTTTAAAAAAAAAAAAAAAAAAAAAAAAAAAGAGAGAGAGATTTTTCATGCACTGAATCCATCCAAGTACCTACATCCTTGGGACTGTCACCAAAAAACGATGAACATTATAAGACATTGACTCTACACTAGTTGCAGTTCATATTCCATACACGTGTAAACAATGGTTATTTCTTCTACTGGAATAGCAATTACTCCATAAGATCCCTTCAAACATGGCAACAACCTAAGCATCAGTTTTCCTCTGTTCCTTCGCTAGTCTCCACTTCCCAAAGAGTAGGCAAAGTGGAACTGAGAGCAATGAGACGAAATGGTGCTGGGGGATACGATAGAAAAATATATTGTTCGCTGGTTTTTATTTTTAATTTCTGCTGAGCAAGATATTTACAGGTAGGTAGGTCCCAACAGATCATCTGCTTCAATGACAATGTCCATCCACTAAGTCCCAGTGTAAAGGGCTCCCCTTCTGGCTTTAAGGCACTTTATTTTGTATAATTTTCTCTTACCTTGCTAGGTGTCAATTCATAGGGATCACACGCTCCTTGTATTCCGCCTCCCCATCCCCAGTTCCTCTTAGAATACCAAAAAAATTCTTAAGCTTACTGAAGTCATTCCAAAAATGTGAAATAAATTTGGGAAAAAAGATTCATGAAAAAATATTTTAGAAAGTAATCTTTGGAGGTCATTTACTGCAAGTATGATGTACACTACCTTATCAGTGAGAAGATGCAATACATTCCTAATATATATATATATATTTACACACACATATATATATATATAAAATATTAAAATGACTAACAGATATTCAAGGAAAGGTCAAGAACCTAAAACAATGGATATTAAATAAATTAACAGTCTATCAGATACAGAAAAAAATAATCCCAAAACAAAACTAGTAATCAAATGTAATAATTGTTCCCATTAACATCACGTAACCGACTGAACAAAATCAATGCATTCAGGTGCAGCACACTCGGTACAGAAGATTTTTAAAAGTTCTCGTTAGGGATCTCTAATTGTTCATTGTGTACTGTTGCTTTGCTGCAAGAGATTCGCATTCCCCATCCTCTTCCCCTCCCTCGTTATGCTTCGGCATTTCTTGATCACATCATCCCAGCTCTAGACAGGACAGCGGTTGAGGATAATACACAGAACCCACCATGGATTCTTAAAACATTACGTCCATATATGGACCAAATATAAAAGACAAAAATTTCTACAGGGACTAATCGGATAGCAGGTTGTGCTTACTTTCTTCCCTCTCTTGAAGCCACCTGGCCATAGTAAGTGGAAGTGTATTTTTAAACTGAAATAATCAGCCATTTGGAAGAAAAATCTCCTGCAATTAGTACCCTTATCATCACCACACTGATTTGTTTTGTTCTAACGCAATTTAAAAAATAATGGCTATCCTTAACAAAAGAAGCAGAATCTTTGCACGGTAGCCGTCACAACAAAACATTTAGGTACACCGTTTTGTCACTTGGCTTGCACGCTCAGGTCCCAATTTACAGAATCCCAGCAATGAAGACAGCAACGGAAAAGGTAGGAAACAATCTTTTGTTCATAAGGAAATTCTAATTCAAGTCAGATATCCGCTGATTGGTCAGGTAACTCTTAAACAATTTTTTTTGTTTGAAGGCAAATATTGATCACAGTTTTGTTCAAAACCAAAAACACAACAACAAAAAAAAACAATGGCCTTGTTCTTCTCAAAACGAGCGCTTTGTAAGAAAACAATGATGATTTCTAAAATATATCCTGTGTGGTCTTTTAAAAGTGAATTATCAAAAAACATTTTCCCAAAAATAAATTAGATAATTAAAAAAAAAGTCTTTTCCAGCATAGCTGGACATTAGGCTGTCCTCACTGAGCCATTAGTATTGCTGCTTTTCCCAAAATTTGGGTCATTTTTTTCAAACCATATTTCAGCCAGCTGTTGTGTGGACCCATACGTTGAGGCTTTGGACCCCAAGCACATTTTATATTGTTTTGGATCAAGATTAGGGTCACAAAAAACAGGGTGATGCACATGGACTACTCCAATTTCTTGGCTTCGGAAAGTTTTTAAGCCAGCTTGAATGACTTTGTTAAATAGGTCTACGTCTTCCAGGCCCCAACCTTGGATGGAGACATCAAAGCCACCTGCTCGGAGAAGATCACCTTTGTAAATGCAGGTAATACCAAAGCCATAGTTCCTCCAGAAACCTGTTTTCTGGGTGAAGGCAAAATGATTGTCACTAGGAACTTTTCCACTATAAACAATCTTTGGATCATACTGGCTAAAAATGATGGGAAAGTATACTTGTTGACCCAAAACCGTATTGGCTCTACATCGCTGGAGGAATTCTGTGGTAAACACTAAGTCAACATCACAGAAGAAAAGTAAAGACTCGTTCTGGAACTGAGAAGATCCGACTTCCAGAGCCAGCGCCCTCGAGAACTCCCCTGACACCGGTAAAACCTGCATGTCAGCCTTGGGGTATTTGGAGCGGTAATCTCTCATCAGCTCGATTTGCTTCGCTTTGTCAGGGTTGGAGTTGGAATTGAAAAGCAGGACAACCAGCTTGACGTTCTGGTTTGGAATGAGGCACGTCTTTTCAAAATTCCCCATGAACCTTGCAAACATGTCAAAACGTCCAGACAGGGGAATCAGGATGTTGATCTTCTTGTCTTTGAGTTCCTTCCTTTCGACTTTTGATCTGCTGAGCTGGAAGGGAACAAACATCTTCAGCGAGTTGGAGAGGAAGGACAAGGATCCAGAATCCTGGTTGATTTTGCTGGCCAGCTCTTTGGCGTCCATCTCTTCGTGCTCCATGAACTGGATCTTGCTGAACGTCTGCTGCAAGTACGCGTGCCTCCTGACGGGGACGGTCATCTTCTTCCCCTTATGCTTTTTGTACAGAAGCAACAAGTCGAGGACGTACTCTGCTCCGTACATCGGATTTACTCTGCGATAGCCATACTGTATTTCCTTGAAATCTATGATCCTCCCCCGGGTCTTAGCGTTGGCGTTGATCATTTCCATGACCTGCATAACAATGTCATCCAAGGCTTCACGCTGAGAAGAGTCCATTCCTCGCCGAGGAGGCTGCCCGTCGGCACCCGAATACAAATACTTTCCTGTAAGAAACTCCCACTCCAAGATTTCCTCCCGGCGGCGGGGCTGGAATCGCATGAAGGAGGGCGGCATCCCCAGCTGCAGGTCATCTTTGTGGATTTCTGTGTTGCTGTATTTGCTCATCAGGACAATTTCGCGGTGCAGCTGTACAGTCCTGTGGCGCAGCTCTGCGATCTTGCGGCTCAACATGTAGCTGTGAAGTCGGTACTGGTACGGGGGGTTCTTATTGGGGTGCAGCGTTATAGCTCTGTGTATTTTGCTGTTCCTAAGGTCTCGGATATAACCTTTTTTGTTCTGCTCATAATTTTCATAAAACAGCTGCTGCATCTAGAAGAGAGAAAGAAGTTAGCGTCTTGGCAGTGCTGTCCTTGTGAAAGTTAGCCCACGCAACCCCCCGCTGGGAGAAAACTCCTTGCTTGGGCCAGGAGGCTTTCTGAATAAGCTGTTCTTGGTTTTAGGCACAGGTTGTAGCAATACCAGCTGCTATTCAAGGAAATTAAGAGGATTATTCATTGTAAACTGGTGAAAGAAACATCCACCATGGATTTGGGATTACTGCAGCCCATTCTAGAGATATCACCGTCGGCCAAACAACTGAGCAGTAAGTAGATTGTAAGCTCATTTTTTCACAACAACACACCATCACCAGGAAAAAAAAACATGAAGTGTTCACTACAAAACTCTTACTATTTGTCTGCTTCCCACGGGCTTTAATAATAGTAATAAGAGAACAATAAAAAAGGATGCCATGTACGTAGTAAGCAAGTATGACGACACCTTTTCCGTTACACCCAAATGCTCTTTAGGTATTAAAAATCCAGCTTGCTGAACGTTTTAGTCAAGATGCCAAATACGTTATCTCAAGTACTGCAATGCAAAGTTACAGTTCCCCTGTCACTTTAAAATGTCAACAGAACGTAAAATGCACCTGAGATTCCCAGCAGCAGTTCCAGAAGGCAAGTAATACAGGATGCATATGTACACTAGAATAAAAGCATCCTTGAAGTGAAAATTGCTATTTCAGAACAAGAAGATAGTGAGCTAAGATTAGATTCACAAGGCTGATGGAAAGCAAGAAAAGCAGACAAACCAGCTTTGCAATTTTCAGGCAATAGCTGATATAAGGAAAGGCATGCGTAGTCCAGGATGATATGTGGAAAATAAACTGAAAAAAAAAAAAAAAACAAAACAACCCAAGAGAAAAAAAAAAAAACCCTTGCGGTTATATACCAGCCTAGACAATGGACAATTAAAAAGATCATGGGCTGTTTCTATGTCACAAAACAAACGTCATCAACCTGCCAGAGGACCTGACATGACAACTTCATTTGATGTAGGATCCGATCTATGTTATTGGCAGCAGAATTTGCTACAGGTAATAGTCAATAAAGCACATGTAAAAAGGCCATAAGGATTAGCAAAGAGCTAAATTCCAAAAGACGAACAGAAGAGAGAATGACTCAAATACGATGGCAATTAAACAGAGCACCAAAAGGAAAATCACAGCACAGAAAGCCTCCCTTTAACAAACAGTGCAAGTGATGCTTCTACCAGCTGTTCAGACCCAGCAAAAGTCCTGTTTTATTAGGCCTGCAGTTGCATTTTTCCCATTATTGTGGACAGACATTGAATCTAAGGGATAAACTTACACCTGGATTTAATTGCCGCTATCTCAACAAACCAGATGTGCGCATACGGAAACCTGAAATTCAGCATATCACTGCGGACAGCACAGGAGCAAGCTGTGTCTGCTTGAAGCAGCTCGTGTGGATTTTAATCTGAACAAATGTAATTCATTTCAGAGGAGGGAAGGAGGAACTTCAGCCGGACTGAGAAAGAAAGGATATTTTTTTCATGGGTCATCACCAATCCCCCACCTCTTCTCCTTTCCTGCTCAAGTTCACCTTCTTGCCCGCTCTCCCCTAAGTGATTCCTGCTGCTTTCATGCTGTCTGTGAGCAATTCAGGCCAGAGGCTGCCTCTTATTAGATAGATCCCATACAGCAACACAGCCAAAGGAGAAAGAACATCTTGGCAGTGGCCTCTTGGCAAGCCACAGATGAGCTGCCTGTCAAGATGGATATCCCTTTAGAAGTCATGCAAGATTTAAAAGAGTTCTATAGGCAGAAGTTAGTTGGTTTAATCCTACGTTCAGCTGAGAGTTATTCAAATTGAATGAATCTCATGCTTTCCCAAGAAGCATGTTTTTCCACTCACCCGAAGACTGTTCTTCATTTGTACCCCTATATTGTTTCCTCTACTAATAACATTTTATTTTTCGTCCACTTTGAACCTCGCTGCTTCTGTTAAGGGCTCTAGGAGACCTCAAATCACACCTACTTACAGTCAGTCCTGTAAGCACAGTTTATTACAATGGAGAGCTCACGTAGCAAGAACAAGACCAGTCCAACACTGCAGGACCCACACGTGTCTTTCTACTAACTCCACTGATCTATCCTCTCCAACAATACACATATATATATATATGTGGGACTAGAAGTATCAGAAAAGTATGATAACAGATTTCACTAACATTTTCACTATAACACAACTATAGGCATAGGCTTTCCCAGGAGTATTGTGACATCAGATAAAAATTCTTCAATCTTGTCATTCAGCAACTATTATTTAAAGGAAAATTGACAATAGGATTTAATTTCAAACCTTGTTTTGAATTTATAAGAAAACAAAATCAAGACCATGCAGCCCGAATGCATTTATTCCAAAACTGCCATCTAGGGCATTCTGAATTAGATTCCAAGAGGAAACCATGAACAGCAGAAAGGCTTTTAGATTACACAACAAAGTTTTAATAGAATACCGATGGGTAGGAAAATGTTATGAAACTTCCCAGTGGAAGTAAAGATATGAACCCCTACCAAATGGCCCTAAATAAAATTAACAAGCGTATTTTAAAGCTCTGGCTTGCCATGCAGGGGTAAGCTCTTAGCTAAGCTGGTTAACTTCTGAACTTTTAATACTACAATTTGCCTCTTCCAAAAACCAGCTAACTTCAAAAACTGAACTGAAAATAAAACGTATGTCAGCAAGACACCACTGGTGCTTCAATGCAAAACAATTTACAACTGAAACATCTATTAACGGTCACCTTGCTCCAGCCAAAAAGGTGACAACTGTAACAAACCCTGCGCTCCAGCCAACCTTGCAGTGCAACTAATGAGAAGCACCACAGCAGCCAGGCTTTTATATAACCCTATTTTTTTCAGAAGAATGCCTTGCAAGGCTGGCACTTTCACTGTTTTTCCTTTGAAGTCCCCTCCATCTCCTACTCCAGCATCCCGCAGCCCTGACCCCCCAGCCAGAGAACCCAGGCACACCCCACACCCATAGGAAACACACACGGAAGGGTATGGGAAGGGGTTAATCAATTCCCCACAGAGAGCATGAGGACTTACAAACTATTTTTGCACAGTGGGATGAAGTGCTGTAGAAGTGGCCAGCAGCCAACAGAGCAATTTAACCCTTCCTGGGCCGTGGCACCTGCAGACGCGCTGCTGTGCCTGTCGGCTTTCCTTCGTGATCAGGAGCCCCCCGTGGATCGCGTTTCTTCACCCACATCTACAAAACTTGAAAGAAATGAGCACTTGCCTTCATACAGTTTGACAGCTGCACCAACATTAATTTGTTAAATCACGAAGGCAGCGCTAGTCCTTGGCACTGCGTTCAATCACTAACTAGGTCAATGCCCGGCTCGCCCACCACTGCTAATGGAGTTTCTACCTCATTTGCGTCCAAAACACTATGCTAAATATTACCTATTAACACACATGGGCTTTCGACTCCACGCAATAATGGAAAGCCATAAGGAAGACAAAAAAATCATAATTACCTCTTGTGTACATCGTTAATAGGTGGGTGGGAGAAGACGACAGAGAAAATAATGCCTGTAATTTATTTGTTCCTCCTATGTAGCAGCCATTAAACACACATGGGGAGCAACACAAGCCCAGAACACGCACGTCTCTAACAGACGTTACGTGCAAACTTCCCCATGCCTGTTACCAGACTGTTGCGAGTTGAACTCTTGCAAACTCTTCTTTCAGTGAAACAGGTTCTCTATGATTCTTTTCAAAAAAAGAACCTTTCATGGATATTAATTCTGCACTGATTATATTCTAAGCATGCTTTATTCTAGTGCAGAGCACTGAGAGCGTAGGGATACAAAGAAGAGCTACTCTTTATTGACCACTATTTACTCTAGACCTGTTGAAGCCTTAAAAACCCTAATGTTCCCCAAACCATTAGAGACTGAATGTTTAAATTGTGGTACAGCTGTTGTGGGCACTACTGGCTCGTGTCCAAAAGACCAACTGAAAGGAGAGAGTGTTATGTTCTTCGTTTTAAATGAAGAAGTCTTTTGCAGGCCAAAAAAAGTGTACTGGAGAAAATGGACTTTAAAAATAAGACCAGTTTATGCAGAAACTGGCCCGCAGCCACGGATTAGCCCCCGAGGGCTTTCTCTCACAGCTCCAGATTGTACTACCACAGCTCAGAAAACGCAGCCCCACAAGTCTCATGAAATGCAATCATGGACAAGACATGTCGTATGGCGGGCCTCAAAATGCCCAAGATGTGCTTTAAATACAAAGCCAAACTCATCAAAAGCTCGAAAGACAGCTAATGTCACCTAGCGCGGGAGCACCTCCGCTGGGAGATGAGCATGCAGGTCCACTCCGTGCGGCCGGTGCAGAGCTGATCCTGGTGCCCAGCTCTGCTGCCACAACTGCGCAGGATGCTCACCCCCATCTCCTCCTCCCAGAGAGGCAGCCGCAGCGGTGCAAGGGCGGCAGCTCCTCTCGGACGGCTGAAGAGAAATGAAAGACGTTTTGCACCCGCATCCCAAGTAACTGTATGAAATAACGGTAGCTGCACTCGCACGGCTTTGCCACTTTGGAGTGATTAACCAAAACAGATCGCTAGTTTTCTGGTTTTTAAAATCGCCGTTATAGCTAAATTGAGAAAATATTTTGCATGTAGACCCAAGGGAAAGGAGCAGTGGGTCTTTGTTTACTGCTGACTTGCCTATGGTGGAAGAGGAGACCGTAGTCACCTCCATGGATACAACTCTGTGTATTCAGGGTTCTTATTAACAATGATATTTGGTATTTCCATTTTAAATCCCAATGCCTTATGTGCGATCTCTCAGCTAACCACTGACGTGACTGAAGACACTCCTGGGCAGAGTTATTATGGTGGAGACAAACACTGGGAGGTAATGCATAAACACTCATTTCCAGTGAACTTGGTCACTCGTTCATCCCTGCAACCTCCCCAGCTGCCTCTACAGGAAAGGATGCAGGAAACACC